TGAGGGTATACATTCGCAAAGAGCGTGTACGATTTGGTACGATTACGATATATCTCTTACCCACGGAGTCTAAAACACAGATGAAAAAGAGCTATTCCGCTATACCGATCGGGCACCTTTGTTTTTCTGCCCTTTAGACACAACACGTACGTTATCGCAAATCGTAATGCTGCTGAACTGATAAAACATCGCGGTTCTATCGATCTGAAAGGGTTACGTTACTTATACTCGTCATTGCATCGCTGCCACGGCCAGCCACGATCACGTTCGGTGTTCACGCTGCTCTAGATTTTCATGCAGAGTACAACGTATAGTTCTCGCAATTCCTGCTCGGTACCTCAACGCGGTGATATCTCACGGCACGCGAAACGAGATCATTTTCAGGTCGACGAACGGGCGGCTCCGGGAGGCCCAGCGGAATGGCTTGCGAGGCATGTAACGCCAAGTTCAATCTGTTCAAGAGAAAAGTGAGTGGACATTCTCGGCCGTGGCCATCTGGCGCTCATTCCCTCGTTTCCTCGCTAAACAACGGTCCCGAAGACAACCCAACAATTGGACAGTTCTCAGTATTGAGCTATGCGTATGCGAATCGTGATTTCGAGCCTCCTTCAAATTGTCACGCAAACATCGTAATCTGTAGTGTCATCGATTCGCTGCATCCTAAATTATTTTAACATTTGACCTTCCCCTTTCTGTTAAGTAATCTAGAACTTTAGTTGCTTATAGAATTCACTGTACATTCGGTCCCAGAAATTTTAGATTTTCTGGTTGAACCCGATCTTTGGTTCTTGTTTAAGAAATCTCCTGGGTTCAATGTTTGACGTATATTTTGCTATTTTGTGTGATTTTTAGAAACAATGCGTGGACTGCCTGAGGTATTTTTGCTCCGAGTGCGTGATCAAACGGCTGGACAAGGTGTTCACTTGCGACAGCTGTGGTCTATTGTCAAGGAGGCCGCTTATCAGAAATCAAATCAGACAAATACGTTCGAGAGACTTGCGTCAGTATCTTGTAGCGAAGAAGGTCTCTGTCAAGGGTTGCGTTGGTATGTACATTATTATCTGCCTTCCGACATACCTTTCTGTAATAATAGCTTCTTGATCAACGTTAATCTTGTAGGAGGTTTTTATAGAGCTACTTTGATTTCAGAGAAAGAGGACTTGGTACACTTACTAATGCTCTTTGCTAACGGAACTGACCCGTGCCTGAACTCTGACCACAGTACAAGCGCCAGAATACAAAATGCTACAGAAGAACCACAGTATGTTTTACATTGCAGTGTGTATTAATATTGATGCTTTAACACTTTGAGAGCCGGTGTTTCTGAATGACAAGAACTCTTGTCAATTTATTTCACTACCAAATTCGTGCAAATACATATTTTTCTTAAATACTCTAAAATAATACATCTACTTAGTTCCAGGGTTGATCCCACTTTGAGTAGAATGGAAAACATGCCAAATGTCAGTACTGCGAATAGTGAATGTGTTGCGAACGTGCAGGTGCCAGTGGAACCTGTAAGAAATGAGGATGTCGAAATGGCGGAGGAAGTGAGTGAAAGTAGTGACAGTAGTCCGCTTATTAGCGTTCCATTTAGCAGCGATAACGAGTCACCCGAGGAGAAACCGACGAAAAGTAGCGACGTTGAAATAGAAGAAATATTTGAGGGTGACAGCAATCCAACTGGGCCTAGCACCGCATCGGAACCAGTAGTCACCGAACAGGAAGAAGTGCCCGAAACGTCAAACCAGAAAAAATCGGATATGGTCACAGAGATTCCTATGGTGCGTATGTTTGCAAGCAAACAACCTTTATAAAACCTTCACTGTAATTCTATTTTCTCCCTTCTCGCAGTGGTCAGATAAAGTGCAACTGTCAGACATAAAGGAAGCGTCGGAACTGGAGTATCTAAGCATTAAGCAATTAAAAAATCTGTTGAGTACAAATCGCGTGGATTATAAAGGCTGCATCGAGAGACAAGACTTACTGAACAAAGTGTCTAGATTATGGCAGGAATATAGTCAATCTAGAAAAGGTAACGAAAAGCATTATAACGCAATTTGATAGTAATATCTATATTTAAATTTACTTTAATGTCTATTGCACTTTAAATAACGAATGTTTATCATTTATCACAAATAAATTGTTACAGATGTAGAAAAACTCAGTGAGGAAGAATTGTGCAAAATCTGCTGGGACGCGCCGATCGAGTGTGTAATTTTAGAATGTGGCCATATGGCATGTTGTATAAACTGTGGTAAACAAATGTCCGAATGTCCGATATGCAAACAATACGTCGTTCGTGTTGTACGATTCTTCAAAGCTTGAAGGGGCAACGATCAGAATATACATAACGACAGCTGATTATAATTTTATCAACTTGGGAAAGAGGTCTCAAGTTAAATCCTTTGTTATCTTTGAAATTGTTACCTCATTAGTCTGCCAGTTGTTATAGATCAATTTTGACATATAAAACAAAATTGATATATAGAAAACTAAGTTTGTATGTAAAACACTAAATTTTTGTACATTTTGATGAACAGAACTAGCTCTGCATAAGATTTAGACCAATAGCATGCAGTTATCTTGACTTTTAAGTCTAAATTGATTCAACTTGCAGCATTTTTTGCCCTTTAAAATGCAATTCCGAATTCTTCCTAGATGGAGACTAGTATTTTAAGATTCATATCTATGTCGTATATGTATTATATATAAATTGAAGTGTATATACACATACCTATGCATGTATGTGTATATATGTGTAAATAGGGTATAATATAGGATATATATATATATACGATATATGAAGTTTTTATATTGCGGAGCTGTATGTATGTGTGCATGTGTACACACATCTCGTAACGCTCCAATCTCCTGTGATTCTGGAAATTTTGTAATGTACAGAATGTATCTTTTTTATAAAAATAAATAATATATGAACCAATTTTGAATACGTAATTAAACTAAATAAATTAAACTTATGCGACATTTGGAATTGCAGTTTTGTAAACTTAAGTATATGTATGTTAAGCAATTCAAAGTGCAGAAGTCGCCCCACGGACGAAAACAAAGCTGCCTCACTCTTTCAGCTAGAACAAAAACTAAAGATTTTTGAAAAATATATAACATTTTCTTCCGAATCACGTATGGATTTTGCGATAAGTTAAAAATTGTTGTTTTTATAAACATTTTTGTAGCGAAAAGAGTGCAACTTTCTCTTCCAAAGCGCACTATTTTTACAAGAAACAGTATTTCGCAAAATCAGTATTCTAACCGGTTTGACGGGATTTTTGAAAGAACTCTATCAGAATGATCTTGTGATTGGCGATCCACTGATTCCGCCTCCGCGTATAGTGCGATTCGCTCATATTTGACGCCGACTGAACATATTTTTAAATAACTCCTATATGCAATCGTTTGTATTTCGTATGTAGACGTTTGTAGTGCAATTAGAAAGGTTTGTGAGTCATTCGTTTGTTTGTAATTAATTATTTTTCCACCGTATACTTAGCGCCAATAGATAAATTAGATAAAGTTTTTATATGGAAGCGTTGTGGTATTTCGTATGAAGACGTTTGTAGTGCAATTAAAAAGGTTTGTGAGTGATCCAGATAATTTTAATTAAATATTTATTAAATAGAAATTAGCCGGATTCAAAATTTCATTGATTTCCTATCTATGATACGACATAAGAATTGCTTGTCACGCCATTTCAGGACGTCTAGACCGAGGGGTTGTGAAAATAAAAATTTGAATATAAGCGTTGTGTTAAAATGGATAATCTAATTGTTCCATAAATCGCCTGTAAACTGCAATAACAACTACATCTGAAAAAGTCGATATGTCTACTCAGACTCAAAGGTAAATGGTTCAGGAAAATTAATTTAAATTAATTGTCCTGAACTATTACAGGCGATTTATGGAACAATTATATTATCCATTTTAACATTCCAGTGGGTTAAGCGGGCCTCCTTTTATACCCTACGAGACTGGATTTTGCTTCCGAGTTTTTGGCCGCCACCATGCGCGGCCTAACGGCGGTCGGCAAACTACGATCAGAAGCTGGCGCTCGCGCGCCCGCGCGCGTGTCGCGCAGTGCCGGATTGCCATTTTATGCCGGATCGCGTATTGCGACCGCCAAATAACCAATTTATTTCATTGTA